GATGAACTTAATACCCTAATTGGTCATGAAAATGATGGTAATGGAGAAGTCCAAGAACTTAATGATAAGTCTTTAGAAGATAAAGGGAGTGACAATGACAGTGAGGACATGCAAAGTGGTTGTGACAGTGATGATAGTAGTGGAGTTCTAAGAAAAAAGCATCCAATTTTCAGACAGCCAAAAGACATGTCAGATTACAAGTGGGATGTGGGAATGTACTTTAGTTCAAAGGGTGATTTTAGGGAAGCATTAACAACTTATGATGTGCAAAATGGTAGAGACCTAAGGTTTGTAAAAAATGACAGAGTTAGGGTAAGGGTTAGATGTAAAGTTGGTTGTAAGTGGGAGGCTTATTGTAGCAAGTTGTCAAATGAAGACACTTGGCAAATCAAGAAAGTAATTGACAAATACAAGTTGTAGTAGAGAGTATAATATGAAGCTGATGAGTACAAAGTGGTTGAGTAAAAGAATTCATCCAAGGTTGAGTATAAAGGATATCAAGGAGAAGGCACAAAAAAAGTGGAATATTGGGGTCAACAAAACAAAAGCTATAAGAGCAAGATTTGCAGCTAGAGATTATGTTGATGGTTCTTTTTTGGGAGATTATACAAGGGTCTATGACTACTGTCATGAACTGTTAAGAGTCAATCCATGGTCAACATTTAAGCTCAATGTTGAGCATGTACAAGAAGGTGTTGAGGATGAAAGACCATATTTTAAAAGGCTTTACATATGCTATGCTGTGTGTAAGGAAGGCTTTAAGTTGTGCAGGCATGTAATAGGTCTAGATGGGTGTTTTCTGAAGGGGTTGTGTGAAGGACAGATTCTGGTTGCCATTGGGAGGGATCCTAATTACCAGATGCTTCCCATAGCATATGCAGTTGTGGAGAGTGAAAACAAGGATAGCTAAACTTAGTTGTTAGAGCTGTTAATTGATGACCTTGGAGGCAAAGATGAATGTCTGACTTACACCTTCATCTCAGACCAACAAAAAGCAAAATTTTCATTTATTCTTATGGTTTTATGTGTTTTTGTTATCCTATTCATGTTATGCTATATTGTTATGCTACATTGTTTGTTATGTTATTGCAGGGTCTGCTACCTACTATGGATGAGCTATTGCCAAGGGTGGAGTACAGGTTTTGTGTTAGGTACCTCTATAACAATTTTAAGAAAAAGTTTCCTGAAAAGATGTTGAAGGACATAATATGGAAGGCTGCCAAGTCAACATACCCACAGTCATGGGAAAGAGAGATGAAGGGAATAAGGGTCATCAATGAAGAAGCATTTAAACATATGATGAAGACCTCACCAAGGTTTTGGAGTAGATCTTACTTTAGAACTGAAAACAAATGTGATGATATTCTCAATAACATGTCTGAATCCTTTAACAGTGTCATTCTTGATGCAAGGGAAAAACCTTTAATCACTATGTTGTAAGACATTAGAATGTACACGATGGAGAGATGGGAAAATAACAGGATGAGATTTGGTACTTTGGATAAGAATGATATATTAGGCTAAGGGAACTTCTACTCAACAATCTAGCCAAGCGTCTCAGACTTCTAAGGGAAAGGCTGCTCAGAAGACACATGAACCTGCTAAGGGAAAGACACAAAAGTTGTCTGTTAGGAAGCCAACAAGACCTTTTGTACCACCTGGGCCTACAACTAGGTAGAGTGCTGCCAAGAATGTTGTTGGCCCCGTAACAAGGAGGTCTACTCCAACAAAGAGGACCACTCCAAAGAAGAAACTCTAGATATAATTAGGCTATCATGTCATGTGGAATCATATTATGTATTTTGCTGTATAATTAGTTTATTTTTTTGCTGTTATTTGCAACATGTGTATTATAAGTTTATGTATCCCGCTGTTGTTTGAAACATGTGTGGAATGACTATGTATTTTATGGAACATGTGTATTAATTTGTATTATGAAATGGACCTGTTATGAAATGTATCAGTTGTGTTAAAAGCAGAACCTATTTATGGACCTGTTATGAACTTTATGTTAAAAGCATAACCAACTTATAGGTCATAATGTTTATGGACTTGTCATAATGTGGTGTAAAAAATGAAGACCAAAAAAATGCAGACCAACTTTGACAGGTCTATTACAGACCAGGTGAACATAAAAACAGAACATACCAAATATATCATTGTGTATTAAAATCAAGCTAATCTTCAACAGACCAAATAACATAATCTTTAACAATGCAGACCAAGTTAAAAACACTTTGACAGGATATTTAACAATGCAAACCAAGTTAACATAATATTTAACTATTATATTCATGTGGAACATACAATCCAAAACTAAAACTGATACATTCATGTTGAACTGCAAAAAGTAAAATTAAAATCCACTGCAGGATTAAAATCCAACTATTACATTCATGTTGAACTGATACAATCCAAAACTGATACAAACTTTAACTGAACTTAAACCTAATTCTTACATCCAAAAGTTAACTTAATTCTTACAAACAAACCATAACATACTACTTCCAAACAAACCTTAATACCCTAACTAATTCTAACAACTAATACAGTGATAATCATAAAATACATCAAATTCAAAATCTTTTTCCACTTCATGATATTCTTCATTTCACTTTCAAGTTTCATAAACTTTTTCTCTAATTCTTCATTCTCCAGTGTCACTTTTTCAATGTCCTTTTTTGCTTCAGCAAGTCCCTTAGTTACCACACCCAACCTATGCATCTAGAATTGCTCCTTCTCATCGCCCACCTCCTCATAAAACCAACCAAAGAAACCACAACCAGCTTGCATACCACCCTGCAAGTTTCATTGTTTAGAGGACAATGGAGAATGAATTAAAACTTAAACTTAAACAAAATTTATTAACAGAATTCAAAAAGCTTGCATACCTTATAATTTGGACAATCCTAGAAAAGTTTTCCCATATTCTTAACAGTAGTTGCCCTTTGAAGAACAACCATGTCTCCACAATGGCATATGGGCTTCCATCGTGACCTACTACAAACATCTGAATCTCGACTTTCCTGTTTCAACATGGAGGACGAACAACTAGATTTCATGCTTGTCAAAAACAAAAACGCTAGATTAATTTTGGGATTTGGGATTGGGAAGAATGAAGGAATGACAAAACAAATTTCAGTCACAGTATAGGAACGAGAGGAGGAAGGAGAAGGAAACAACATGATGAAGATACTTGCCAAGTCATCTGCCATGCACACAAAATGAACGGACGTTTGGGGACAACTAACGGTGATGACTCAATTGACACCATTTTAAAAGTTAAAGGAGCAACTTGACACTTTTTAAAGTTAAGGGACCAAACTGGACCCCGAGTTAAAGTTAAGGGACGAAAATGAGTATTTTGCCTAAACTATTTATAAGAGAGTATTTTGGTCAACAAAATTATAATGTAGAGATGAGAGGATATATATATATATATATATATATATATATATATATATATATATATATATATATATATATATATATATATATATATATATATATATATATATATATATATATATATATATATATATATATATATATATATATATATTATCTAAAAATTAATCGTGAAATTGTTGTTAATTAAATAAAAATAATTAATATAATATATTTTAAAGATTTAAGATATCAATATAGATATTTTATTAATTAAGAGATCGAAATGAATTCTAAAATTAAGATACGAAACTTAAATAACTACTAAACTTAAATATTATATATTGAAAACATTGAAATTAAAAATATAATATAAAAAAGGAAAATTGAATGAAATATTATACAATAGGAGGAAAGAATATACACAAAGGAATGTATAGCTTTTTTTCCTTCAAATTTTAAATTAATGGGAGCTTTGAGGTTGATAAACATCTTAATGTGAATTTGGAAAAGAGAAACTTGAAATATTATATATTATATAAATCTTATATGTTTTTTAATGTTATTAATATTGATTTTATTTGGATCAGAAAATGATCTATAATCTCCCACGCGTCGTGAGCCCTTGTGTTTACTATTGTTGAAGAGGAGGAGGAAGTGTATCGGTAAGGTACTCTAATGCCTAAGTGACTAACAAGCCCTTGTGTTTACTATTGTTGAAGAGGAGGAGGAAGTGTATCGGTAAGGTACTCTAATGCCTAAGTGACTAACAGAGTTAGAAAAACAAATACAAAAAAAAAATAGGTGTGGAGAATATAATACCTGACCCTCTAGTGAAAGAGGGCATTGATAATGTGCCCCAACGCAGGGCCAACATTTACTTTGCATTGAGCCGGATTGCAAGGCTCAATATGAGTAACTGTCAGGGCTTACACGAGGTAGGAAAAACTATCATGTGGTCTTTGCTCTGGATCAATTGCCCTGTGATTTTCGGAAGGTGGGCTGACCAGTTCTTTCGAAATCGCTCTGGATCAACTGCCATGTGATTTTCAAAAGGTGGGCTGACCAGTTTTTTCGAAATCGCTCTGAATCAACTGCCCTGTGATTTATCCTGATGACGTGTTCCTGCGTGGGAAACACGTGGAGAAGACGTGTGAGCTCTCCCCGTGCTAGATGGTGGTTTGCCCGACTGCAAAATTTAAGCATGTCCGACATGAAAGAGAATAGGGTATTGTTGGACCTCTCCAACATAATATTGGGTTGAGTCTACCCGACTGTGAAACAGGTCTTAATTCAGTTTATAAACTCTATATTAATATATATTACATTTGCAATTCAACTACATAAGTTTTGATAGATTCTAATGACACATTCTTATCTTTTTTTAACTAAAGGTCACATATATTCTTTTCACTTGCAATTTTAAAGGAGAATTTATTAACAATGATAAAATATAAAAAATATATATAATTTAATAATATAATAATAAAAAATAATAATACAAGTAATCCCTTTGGGCTCTCGTATATTAAAAAATAAACTAAACATCACTTATTCAATAAATCTTAAAAAATTAACTTTTTCTGAAAAAACAATAAATATCTGGTCATAAATCAAAGTTTATTAGTCAAAAAAAATTGAGGCTGTAGTGGTCCCTTTGGTCTCTCATTAAGTTCCGCCATTGTCTCTATACTTGTTTTCTTCTCCATTAAACACACTGGACATGCTCCAAGAGAATCCTCACATGCTTTGCAAATCATGTCACTCACTATATTATTCTCACCTGTTTCTTCTTCAACCACTTTCATGTCACAACATGACTCTATATCTTCAGGATAATAACACTCTATATCTTCAGGATAATAACATGTTTTTCTTTTCATATGTTCTAACTCATTATTGAGAGACAAAACCATACATTCATTCTCATGAGCAATTTTCCGCCATAATTGATTATCATTCTCTAATTTCATTAAATATTCTTCCAACTTCAAGTTTATGTTTCCCACTTCTGCTATTTGTTCATCCTTTTGTGAAAGCATATAAGAAAACTTCAATAATGTCATCATTTGTTGTCTTCTATACTCTTGCACCTGTCTTTTCAATCTCTCATTCTGCCAAGGATATACAAAGTTGTATTAAATGTTAAAATAATTACATTATTCAATATAATTGTAAGTAAAAAGTAAAAAAAATTGTAAGTTTGAACTAACCTGTGATTTGATAAGGTGATTGAGCTTGAACCTTTGAGGATCAAATTGAATATAGTTGTTGTGCTTAGTGGTAGCATCATAAACATTTGAATCATGAGAAAAAGGAAACTTCATGATTGGATTTAAGTTGGAGCCTTAAAATACTTGAATATCATCTCATATATATACATAACTTTTGAGAATTTAAAGGCGGATTTTTAGGAATGAAAACAGTAAATGGAAAATAGAGTGTGGAATTTGTAAGAAATAATCAAATTATAGAAAAAGTCGCTTTTCGTTTAACAATAAATACTCTAACTAGGAGTGTTATTTATTTAGTGATTTGGTGATTCTGAAAGGAAAGAATTCAAAAGCGCCACATTCAATGCACTTAACTCAACCTTATTTTCTTTTATTATTTTTTATAATTTTCCAAAATTTCCTCCGATTTAATATTAATTGATTCTATTATGAAAATACTTTGTTTTAACTTTTTAAAACTGTTTTTTATCTTTAAAAACTTGTAAATAATTTTTAATAAAAATTTTAAATGAAATTTTTGTTTGAAGTATTATTTTTAAAATATTATTTAAAATTATTTTACACTGTTATCCAATTAAAATAAAATCTGTTTATACATAAGTATGAATAATTAGTTATGATATATAATTTTTATTTTTAATTAAAATGTTTATATGTTAAAATAATTAATTTTAATTGGATGACAGTGTAAAATAGTTCTATTTAAAATATTTTATTATTTAATTACAATTTTTTAATATTGAAATTTTAAAAATCACTTAATTTTTAATTTATTTCAAATTATTTAATATAAATATTATTTTTTAAAGATTTAATAAGAAATTAACGTCATCCTTTATTCATTCTTAAGAAATAGAAAAATAATGATAAAATTTAAAAATTAAGGATAATACATTTAAAATTCATGAAAATATTCTCTAATTCTAGGGTCAATTATGTTTACTTGAGAATGTTTGCTTATATTATTTAATCTTGCTTAATTTGCAGATTATTTTATTATTATTTATAAAAAATTTAAATTATTAATAAAAGAAAATTTAGTTAGAAAAGATGGCAAAGAAAAAGTTTGTTATTATTGTACTCAAGAAAGTATTACAACTCAATATAAGGAATCAAAGTAGTGTAGTTCGTCTAAAATATATTTATTGTTTTTAAATTTGAAAAGTTCTCAACATATAAAAAATGTATAAATGTTTTTTAAAAAAGTGTCTCATTACAGTGTTTGAATGTGTTTACACTTGATTTTAATTGATTTGAGTTGATTGAAAAAAAAAATGATTAGGTTAATTTAGAACTTTTGTTTATATATATATATATATATATATATATATATATATATATATATATATATATATATATATATATAAAAAGAAAATTGAACAAGTCAACTACCTATCCATTACAATTAAATGCCACCAATTCATCTACCTACCCATTACATTTAAATGCTACCAATCTTACTAATTTACCTTTCACTTGATTTTTACTTAACATTACACCATGTACTTTTTAGTAATTTATTAAATACAACAACTTTGACCAATAGCATGGTCTAATTCAACTACCTATCCATTACATACAATTAAATGCCACCAATCTTACTAATTTACCCTTCACTTGATTTTACTTAACACTACATCATGTACTTTTTTGGTAATTTATTAAATAAACAACTTTGACCAATAAGCATGGTCTAATTTTGTCTAGTGGCAACTTCCTCTTTCCCTCACTTTCTCCCTCTTTCCAATTTTCTCTCTCGTCTCTTTTCCCCCTAAAAAACCCTAAATTGAATGTTCCCCCTTCTCCTTCGTCTCCCTTATGCTTCATTTCACCATTTTTTCTATTCTCTCTATTTTTTCTGCAAACCCTACGCAGCCGCGACTTTCACCATCTTCTTCGAGAGTTCAGCAGCAAAAGGAGTTCTGACCGCGTCCCTCACCTTCAACCATTAATTACTGCATGGTATCTTCTTTCTCTTCATTTTAGTTGCTTATGAATATTTTTGTTTCTGTAACCAATGTGATTGATGTTCATGGTCATGTTCATTTCCTACTTCCAAATTCAGTTTCTTCCCTTTTCATATGAGGTATTAGCAAAGTTTTTTGGTGTGAAGATGTTTTTGGTGTGAAGATGTTCATGGTCAGGGATCCTAATATGAGTTTTGATTCTGCATCAAACTACCTCCTCCATCTTGCCTTCAACGATAATGGCATCAGCATCACCGCAACACAATGTTCAGCTACAGATTAACAGCTCAGACTTTTTGGTAACATTTCGAACCGAGAACGTCGTTACAAGTTTGAACCGTTTTATGTTGTGACTCGATGTTGTTTAATGTCTATAGCCTACTTCATCGTTTGCTTAATACATTGTCTTTTTTTTTTTTTGTTAAAAATCAATGGTTGATGTGTATTAAGAGCAATGTTGGAATGATACAATATATAGCATAGGCAGTTATGCTGATTATGTTTTCAGCTCAATATATCTCCTTTTATCCTGCATATATATTCATTTTTCTGCTTTGTAAAACTACAAAGTTGCCGGTAATTACGCGTTGATTCGGTTTTTCGCGTGAATGGAGTTTGGTCTTTGGCTCACTGCGTGTTTAGTATACAGGGAATCAATTGTATTTCTATTTTGATTTAGTTGAAAATTCTATGATTATTATGTGTGTAATACTGATTATGTGTTGAGTTATGCTTATGCATCCTCTACCGTGTCGGTTTTGTTTTTCTGATTGAAAGATTTAGTTCAAGTTACAGGTTGCATTTTAGTGTAGGGTTGTTTCTTTGCCCGATTTTATGGCAGTAATTTGTTATGTGTACTGAAACAAACATTGTTGGATTGGTGGTGCCGCCGCGGTTTGTATTTAAACAATAAAATTCTATTTTGGACTTTTAGGCTCTCGCGGCGAAGGTGGAATTCATAGGAATAGCGAGGGGGAGCAGTAAATGGAATGATTTTTGGTGTGAAGATGTTCATGGTCATGTTCATTTCCTACTTCCAAATCCAGTTTCTTCCCTTTTCATATGAGGTATTAGCAAAGTTTTTTGGTGTGAAGATGTTTTTGGTGTGAAGATGTTCATGGTCAGGGATCCTAATATGAGTTTCGATTCTGTATCAAACTATCTCCTCCATCTTGCCTTCAACGATAATGAGTATGGAGATTCGAGAAGGTTGTGGTGTAGGTAAGCTAGCTTTTTCATTGATATATCCAATGTATTTATAAAAAGTTTTGGAAAAGTCAGGACGCCACTGATTGTTGGTAATTGTAGCAACAATGATTAATGGTAGCCTGGGGTTTAAGCTATGTAAATTGTTTGTCAGGTTTAAAATTACAATGCTTAAAATTTACTCTGAAATTGTTACTGGCGTTGATAGCCCGGAGTCAAGTTCTTTAGGCGCAACCAAGTTCCACATGCTTAGAGATCGTTGCCAAATTCTGTTACAGGTTAGTTTTAAAGTATTTGTATTCTCTAATTTTTTAAAAACGTTTTTCTTTGTTTTAATAATTTAAATACATGTTAACTAGGTACATGATGAATTAGTGCTGGAAGTGGATCCCTCAGTGGTGGAAAATACTGCAATATTGTTGCACACTAGCATGGAGAATGCAGTATCACTTCTTGGTTTGTATTCCTTAAACAAATTTAATTATAATGAAGTGAAATATATTGACATTATTGAGATGAATATAACTATGATGCAATATCACTTCTTGGTTTGTATTAGAATTCTTGAAGCTGTTTTCATGGAGGAAGCTCTCTCGGTGATGCTGTCGACCATGCTGCGTAACCTCACTGACAAACTCTATGAGAAACACAAAATTGTTGTTGTCGAGGTTTTTTTCCACTTTATAAATTCATCACCTTTACATCGCTTTTTCTCCTACTTCGCTGATCGGTTCCAACAGTGCTCAAAAATCTAATCTTTTGGGACAATCATTACCTTAATTTTCCCTTTTATTTGATGGGTGTTTCGGGTGATTCACCATCACAAAAGGGTTCATGGAGATTTTTCACTAGAAAGAAGCAGGTTGATTCTGCAAGTAAAAACACTAAACCTCTGCTTGCACAGGAGTTAACTATTCCTCATCTTATTGCAATTGGTAATTCATTCAATTCAACTTAAAAAGTTTTAATTTTTATCTTTTTTTTTTCATCTGGGTTTCTTGATAATCTGTTTTGGCACGTAGGAAAATTGTCTGGTTTGTGTTTTCATGTTGTTACATGAAACTGGTGTTTTCTATTTCTGAGCACATGATTTGGTTTATTATACTAACTGTGTTTTGGAAATTGAATTTGATGTGTGTTTTTTTTTATGTTAATAAAATAACTAGGTGTTGGTTCAACAATTGGTGCTGGAGTGTATGTTTTGGTTGGAACAGTAGCTAGAGAGCATTCTGGACCAGCTTTGGCTATTTCTTTTCTGATTGCTGGCTTAGCAGCTGGTCTTTCTGCTTTTTGCTATGCGGAGTTGGCTTGTCGATGTCCTTCTGCCGGAAGCGCGTATCACTATTCATACATATGTCTTGGAGAAGGGTTTGTTTTTCTTAGTCATTTTCATTTGGTGTGTGTTTGGATTAGCTTATGTGAAACTGATTTTGAGGTCTGTGAATTTATTTAACATGGTCTCATAAAAGAAATTGATTACTTTGTTTTCAGTGTTGCTTGGTTGATTGGCTGGTCCTTGATACTGGAATATACAATTTGTTTTCAGCGTTACTTTGATTAATTTGTATCACATAATTTGTTTTAATAATTTTTCAGTTCTCCAAACAAGTGACACACTTTTTCTGCATTAAATATACTTTTATGGCTTCATGGATTTCCCCTGATATATTATATTTATTTAGTATAGATAACTTCACAAACTTTATTTTTTTGTCTTTCCATACTCAATCTGATATAATTATTTTCTTACAGGTGAGTCACCTTATGAAAACATTGGGTACATTATCTGGCTACCTTTTCGAATGCAACTACATGCCGTTATCTGATTCTGAACACGACAATTGTTTAATGACTCCTGACTCGGTTCTCGAACCGGCTGGTTTGAACCAGACTTCATCTGGTTCAGGAGGATATGGTGGTATGGATTGTAGAACCACTCTTGCTTGCACTGCAACTACTGAGATAATTAGAAAGAAGAGAAGTGGTTGTTCAGCTTTTCAGACTTCTGAGAGGACATTAGATGCACCAGACCTTGTGGATGACTATCACCTCAATTTATTGGATTGGGGAAGTGCCAGTGTTCTTGCAATAGCACTTGGAAACACAGTGTATTTGTGGGACGCATCAAACGGTTCCACTTCAGAACTCATGACTGTCGAGGATGAAGATGGCCCTGTCACATCTGTGAGTTGGGCTCCTGATGGGCGTCATATTGCTGTTGGTTTAAACAACTCTGAAGTGCAGCTATGGGATACAGCTTCTGATAAGTAGGTATGTTATCCTTCAAATTATATACACCACTTTATGAACTATATTCCACTAGCTCTTACCTGAGCTGAAACTTTATATATTAACAGTCCTTATAATGAGATAGTTTGTCATGTGTGTTATTTTAATGCTTTTTTCAAACTATATCATTCCATGCTGCCAATCAGACTTGTCGGTTTTGTGAAGCTGGTGTAATGGATGGCCTTTCTTTGCAAGTAAGCCATGCTGCCAATCAGACTTTGTCTTCCGTACCTGATGATTTTTCTGACATATTATAGTAAGTGGCATATTATAGTATGCAATCTGTGGTTTATTAATTTCATAGCATCATCAATAAAAATAACTTATACATAAGAGCTTACCGCAATAATCATTTATGTTATAAGTTGCAAGTTAAGTTGTTTATCCAAGCAGGATCATATTTCGGAAATGTTTTATTTTTTGTTTAGTCTCTCCATTCTGGTCTCTGAAACAGGCATAAACTTTGTAACCCTTTTTGCAACTATAATCATAGAAACATTCTTTTTACTTTCTCACTCTCCCTCCCTTTTATTGGTGGCCCTTTTCTCTTTGTTTTGTGAGTAAAAATGTTCTTTTGTTTTGTTACATCTTGATCAGGATGATGGGATGAGTATCATTGCAAATTTTCTTCATCCAGAGCCATTGTGACCTATCTTTATAGTCATACCAGTACTGTGATGTGGAATTTTGAATTACTGTTATTCATTATCTACTGTCATGCTGCAATATCTTTCTTGGTTACATCATTTTAGCTTCATGTCATTTGTCCTAAAAAAATTTTGGTGGATTTTATAGTGAGACAAGCTTTCATTCATCTATCTGTCATTGATTCGTGTTGTGACTTTGTAGGTGGTATAGTAAATGCGGTTGGCAGACTTGTGATGAAAAATGCTCAGCAGGTATGTCAATAATAAACTTGACCTATGATTTGTAAATGTGAGGGTCATGTATTTTTTGTTTTTAACTCATAAATATTGATTGTTAAAAAACATTTATTATGAAATCACCCTTTTAATAAATGATGTACATATTTTTCTTGGTATATAGACCCAAAAAGGGACCATTAACTAAATTTATAGAGTTTCTTGTACTTAATTTTTGTTTACTTAGTAATTAGTTGTGTGTTCACTTTCTCCTATCTATGTAGGGAGCAGCTACAACATGTTATGTAGCATTGCACCTACAAGTGAAGGGAGTTAGTGGTGAGTATTTTTCAGACAGTAATTTGGGCATAACAGCCTCATAAGCGATGGATACCGATTTGGCTAAGAAACTTTGATTTTAGCATTAATTTGATTGAGGAGAAATATAATAATCAAGTTTTATAATGACATTCATTGTCTATGTTTGTGAAATGTATTAAAAGCATAGCTTTTTTGAAATAATTGGGTAAGAATAGATATTATTAAGAGGATATATGTGTTAAATACACTTTTAACAGCAAAAAATCCTTATTATTATCATTGTTGTGTTGCATGTATCCATAATTTGGTATTTCTTTTAGTTTTTCTCATTTTGATAAATGGGTTCCCATTTTTATAATGAATGTTGGGTATCTTAACTTGCAGAGCAACCAAGTGTTCTTCTAAGTTGTTCCAAGCCAGACATATCAGCTCCATTCAGGACCAAATAAGTTGCACTAGGGAATCTATCTTCATATGTGGGTCTAAATCGTTATAACTATATATCTTGTGTAAACTCACCCAAAAATATTATCTACACCATGTATAAACAAGTTTGGCTTAGACGTCCTTATATCAATAAAAACATGAGTTTATAATATATTATGATACACATATTTTGGATACATGTTTATTCTTGTCTTATCGTTTTGAAATGGCACCAATGTAGTTTATGTCATGCTTATAATTTTTTGAAGTTTCAAGAGCATAATGATTAGATGTTCTGCATTGTAAATAATGTGTCTCAGAACAATGCATTAATTCTCGTGGAACGTATCATGTGAATAATAAAGTGTGGAATGTATAAAAAATATTTAAAGTTTCTATTGTTTGAAGTATCGAGAGTTTAGGTACATATTTATTCTTTCGCTGTTTTTTCTTTTGTATTATGTAAAAGCTTATTAATAAGTGATCATATTTATTTTTTTCTTCTCTGTTTAAGTGTTTTAAAATGTTTTTTTCATTCTTTAATTTTGGATGTTTGATAACATGGATTAAAAGAGCATTAGATGTATGACTAGAGTTTATTTATTGCAAACTAATTTCTTATAAGAGATTTAAAATGCTGTAAAACTTAATAAATAAAATTTAAATTTATTTTCAATTTTTTTTATAATATTTAAATTATTTTTTATTTTTTAAATGTGATTGAAATAGTTCATAAAGTCGGGACACAATCCGTTAGATTCCGCCAAGAAAACAAACACATATTGCTTTCAATGATGTGACACGGAAGACAATTAGTTAGATTTTTTTTTCCCGTTATTATATAAAAAAGGTTTGTGAAATGACACGGTACACAACCAATTAGATTCAGATAAGAAAACATGCATAAATGTTGTTCTCAAAAATGAAAAGTCTAAAATCTTGATTCATATGTATTTGAATCTATTCATTGTAATGTTTAAAATGTTATTGAAACTAGAAAAACCATGACACAAGATACAATCAATTAGATCCAAACAAAAAAACATGCATAAATATTGTTTTTAATGTGCATCTAAATATAATTCAACTATTAATATATCTAATACTCTATATCGTATTTATGTGGACGCACTAATCTTACATTAATCGCTGATAAGGATTGTCTAGGCAATATTTAGCTAATATAATGTAACGGTTTTATGTCTGTAGCCAAAAAATAAGAGATTCTTCATATAGGATTTGCTAATATTGTCAAATAACTCAAAATTTAATGTATTTAATCTTTTTATTTTATACAATCTTACGATAAAATTGTATGTTACTCTATTGCTCTAAAAAATGAATCATGTATAAATATTACTTTAAAAAATTAAAAGTCTAAAATTTTGATTATGTATTTCAACCTTTTCATTATAATGTTTAAAATGTGATTGAAATACTTCATAATGTTACACAAGATATCATCGGTTAGATTCAAATAAATAAAAACCAGCATAAATATTACTCTCAATATGCATTTAAATATATTTTTTTTTGTGAAATTTAAATTCGATAAGATTATACTTTTTTTTCATACCCGTGCGGACGCACGGGTCTTCTACTAGTTCAATATAGAATCACAATCACTTGTCCATAGATTCTTCTCCTCTTCCTTCAGATGATCATCTTCATTTCATTCTAGTCTTCAGTTTTCTTTGAAAA